CAAATCCATTGCTCCTCCGTGGCCTACAGACCATCGAGGTGTTTTACACATTCACGGTAAAGATGTTTTGTCCTGCCATGACTAGTAGAAATTAAAGAGAAACAGACACGACTTTTGGAAGGACAGGGAAATTGAAAAATATAATCATCACAACGACTATGCAGACATATGCAGACCACACCCAGATCTGAAATTGCAGCCAAAGGTCTTGGTAAATTTCATCAACAGAAGCGATTCCAGCGTGCAGTGCCAGCCCTGCAAGCCTGCCGCACACCATAGGAGTTGCTGGACGCTTTTGAGCAATGCGCTCCAACTCGAGTACCAAGAGATGAGATTGAGGTGCAAAGGACAAGAGCTTCTCTCCACATGCAGTTGGCTTTGAGGGTTTGACATGGTTTGACCCTACTGACGTTTAAGAACACCAAAGCACTCTATGCCTGCAGCATATCCTGCTTCCTGCTGCAGGCTCTGTTTCGCAGTATTGATTTGAACGGAGATGGCACCATTGATGCTGAGGACTTGGCATGCGACTGCGGGTGCAGATAGAGGGGCACAAGGGGAACTGGCCCAGACAGTAATGGATTTCGGCAATCGTTCCCAGATAAAATCAAATCAAGTCAAATCAAATCAAATAAATGTAGGAGATGGCGATGGATAGAGATACAGTATTTTGAATGTTCCACCTTGTGAATTCCATTGGCCCTTGTGACTCTCTTGTTTGGTGAGGAGATGATAGAATTTCTTGCCAAGACCTGGATGGAGAGCCCTCGTTGGCAGCTTCGAACCCCATTGCTGGCCGAAAGCCATGGCCGAATTCGTCGCACTTGGAGGGCAACCTCTAAGGCTTAAGGCAAGGGATTTGGTCCTGGGGGTCCTAGTGTCCCCACCCACTAAAACTTCATCAAGTGGACCGTTTGATTCGGAAACGCAGGTCTTGCCATCGTCGCTTCGGCGTGGAGATCGCTTCAGCAATGCAACCGATTGAATTTAAAGAAACATGTTGATTTCAAAACCGTGATTATGTATAATGCAAGTGCAGACGATACCATCTATATTTGCATGATTTTGCATGTGTTTTTGTCAATTATATATGGTATATTTTGCTTTAAATTTGTGACATGTATTGTGAGGCAAGATACTCTAGGGGAAGGCAAAGCAATTCAATAGGCATTAAATCATTAAATGAAATGTAGAACAAGGAAAAGAACATGTAACTATAGTAACTACAATCTAAAATAATTGTAGTATAACAATTGTTTTCTAGCTATTCTTTGCATGTAACATAATTATATAACATGATGCCAACAGGGCAGAAGGTTCAAGACTTACAGGAAAAAGGTGTCAAACTAAATTTTACTGATAATCTCAATAATATATATATATAGATAGATTAAATTCTTCTTATTTTGTCCCGAATTTAAATTTATTGTTTAATTTAAAATTTATATAAATAAATATATTTAAAAAATCAAAGATATTAAATATAATACATTTATATTATATATTATTTTATATGTTTAATTATTAGTTTTTCTAATTTTGATCTCTATATATATATATTATATATATAATATATATTATATTATATATATATATATTATATATATATTATATATATTATAAATATATTACATTTAAAAAAAAAAAGGATTAAAAAGAAATAATATTTTATAATATATTTAATTATAAATCTTTGGAAATAAAATTTAAAAAAAATATAATTTAAAAAATAATGCTAGAAAATATATAATACATTTGAAAAATATATATAATAAATTTATAATGGGAATGTATAAAATATAAATTATAATATTTGATTATAAAAATTATAATATTTTATTTATTTTTGGTTGTGGAATATAATAGAATTATTATAAAATGTGGTGAAATTGGGGGATGTAAAATAACGTAAATTTTAAATTTGAAATATTTATAAAATTATAGAACGAAATAAAGATTATGATATTTAGAGATAATGAATAATTTATTTATATTGTATTTAATAATAAATTGGTAATTATTAAAATAATTTTATAAATTTTAAATATATAATTGGTTAAATATTTAAAAAATATATATAATTATATATTTAAAAAAATATTTATAAAAATATTGATATATAGGATTTTTTATATATAATTAAATTTTATATTAAAAAAATATTTAATAAAAATGTATAAAATTATTTATTTATAATTTATAATTATTCGAAAAAATTAATATATATGGTGATCGATTTAAAGGTCCTTGTAAGGAGTTTTAATTGCGAAAGTCGTGTATGTTATGTTGGAAATTCTCGCGAAAGTTTTTTTTCGAGTTCCCGAAAGTAAAATTTTATTTGGCGAAAGTTTCGCGAAAATTGGGTATTATAATCATTATATGTAAAGGGTTGC